CACATCGGCCAGCCGCTGCCCGACTCGCTCTACGTGCTCAAGGACACGCCGCAGGTACTGCGGGCCGCTTGTCGTGCTGCATTTCATATTATAACACTAGCTGTTCGCGAAGTCAAATTATAAACACTTTATTTTATTGTTTACATTTCTCAAATTATCAATAGCAAATGTCAAAATGACATGACATGACAAACCTCAGCAACCTTTCTTTCTTGGGGTTGGCAACAACTTATGGTCTCTTTCCCACATTAGGGATTTTATCCAAAATATTTACCCCCTAAGTTTAATGGCGTGAAAATATGTAGCCTAAAGCGTGACGTAAGTTTAGGGTTTTTTGTTAGAAAAAGAATTATTCAAAACTATGCTGTAATTGCTGACATCTTAGGCAACAAAGTAGTGTGTGTTTACGCTTTATTATAATAGTATAGATGGCAAAAGTGGTAAAGGTAACCATCTTGATGTCTGCACATATTTGCAAGGAATTTCAAAGATATGTGCAAGTGCATGTTAATTATGGCCTAATCACCAACTTTGGGTTGACTCCGAGCAGGTAGGGTCTATGGTGAGCTGATGATGGTGAAACGAGGGAGTGGCCACCTGCATCCACATGTTATATGTAAGGGGATAACTTAAAATAAATGTAAAAAAATTAAATAAAACTACTTAAGTGTATGTGTTGTTATTCCAGGTGCAAGGTCTCCACACGTTCATCCGCAACAAGGACACGTCCCGCGACGAGTTCATCTTCTACTCCAAGCGGCTGATGCGGCTCGTCATAGAGTTCGCGCTCTCGCTGCTGCCCTACTCCCAGCTGGACGTGGACACGCCGCAGGGCTTCGCCTACAGAGGTATACTTTGCCATATGACTTCAGCTGTGTTTCAGAATAATATTTACATAGGAAATGCTTTTTTACTGCTATTGACATTTCCCGCATGACGATTCAATTTATTTACTAATCTAAAAATATATAGCCTAAAGCGTGTTGTAAATAAGGCTTTTAATTAAAAAGCTGATTATTCAAAAATATGCTGTGATAAATACAATAAAATGCAAACACACACTTTGTTACGTAAGATATCGACAATCACTGTATATTTCTTATTAAAACTTATTTTATTTAAAGGCGTTACACCAAAGACATGCTTTAACCTACATATCTTCACGCTATTGACTCTAAGAGGTACATAAATTAGAAAAAATGTCACGCAAGAAAGAGACAGAAAACCAATAAACATATATTTCTATAGTAACTGTAATTACCAATGCAATTTTAGATTTTTCAGTACGTATATATAAAATAAAGTTTTTATAATATCCTAAGTGGTAAAATGAGCTCTATTCCGTTGCACTAAGGTCGTAAATGCGACGTGGAGAAGATCTGCGGCGTGTCGATACTGCGCGCCGGCGAGACCATGGAGCAGGCGGTATGCGACGTCTGCAAGGACATTCGTATCGGGAAAATACTCATACAGACAAACCAACAGACGGACGAGCCTGAGGTACCCACTTTACACTTCTATCTCTGTACTATTAAGAGGAAAAATCTGTATCTTTGTAAACAAACTCAAAAACTACTGGGACGATTTCAATTCTTTCATCATTGAAACGCTACGGCTTTAGCAACATAGGATATATATTTTAATGTCGCGGGCCGAAGTCTTTTTATAATATTAGTATAGATATTATAAAGAAGAGAGATTTATGGTTTTGTATGTATTCGATTCACGTAAAAACTACTGGGTCGATTTTTAAATTTTGTTCACCATTATAAAGGTGCCTCTCTGTCCCACTTTGGGAACATAGGAATAGAAGAGAGATTAGAAAGGTAGTTTATTTGTGAGTAACATAGGCTATCTTACTAATATTGTAAATTCGAAAGTTTAGATGGATGGATGGATGTTTGTTACAGTTTGTAGCCTAAACATCTGAACGGATCTCGATGAAATTTGGCATAGAAGTAGAGTATGATCTGAAAGAACACATAGGCTACATAGTTTTTTTTAATTCCACGCGTACGGAGTCGCGGGCGAAAGCTAGTATTTTATAATTTCACGCGGACGAAGTGGCGAGCAACAGCTAATTTCTTATGATAATACTAGCTGTTACTGGTGACTTTGTCTATATGAAATTGTAAAATAATAAGAAATGTAGCCTGTTTTACTCACAGATAAATTACCCTTTTAAAGGTGAAAGAATTTTTGAAATTGTCCCAGTAGTTTTTGAGTTATTTTCCTCTTTATAATATCATTATAGAAGTACAGATTAGTAACGTTAAGGAAATTAGTACCGCGCTGTAGAATTGGCAACACTAGGTTATTGGCATAAACGTCACATCCCGACAACTGTCAATGTCATTAAAAGAAGATTCACGCGCATTCCTGACGAGATCTCTAGTTCAGTGTTTAAATTAATATCCCTAGTTACAATTATATTATTTAAAAGTAATATTTGTTATTTTTCAGTTATATTATCTACGACTACCAAAGGATATAAAAGATTATCGTGTGATATTGATGGACGCGACTGTGGCCACCGGCGCGGCGGCCATCATGGCCATTCGTGTGTTGTTGGACCACGACGTGCCCGAACACAACATCAGCCTGGTCTCCCTCCTCATGGCGGAGATCGGAGTACACTCCATCGCGTATGCATTCCCACAGGTTAGCCGGTTTCCCAGTTTAATCATTCGTTAGTTTTAGTTCGATAACTGGAAAACTCCAAAAACCCAATTAGTGCAGATAGCTAGTAGTCAATCTACGTTAAAAGAGACTGAATTACTTAAATATGCTATGATTAGAAATTGACTGTAAAATAACATTTGAAATGCAAAAATAATTATTTCTAGCTATAAAAATTGAGTTCTAAGTCGAATTAACATTAAAAGGTTTAAAAAATACTCTAAAGTATTCTTTAAATAAAAAGAAAATATGTACATTACAATTTTATTATTTAATTTTTAATTATAGGTAAAAATAGTAACATCGGCACTAGATCCAGAAATAAATGAGAAGTTTTACGTACTGCCCGGGATCGGTAACTTCGGCGATCGCTACTTCGGCACGGAGCCACCATACGACGAGTGAGACGGCGATATACTATAACAATGAGTGCGAGCGAGACGGATAGCACGCCAGTGACGTCACAACGGATTGCTTCGAGCGCTTTTATCTGTAAGGACTTGTATTGCTATCTCTGTCTTTTGTATAGAGAATGAAAGAGATAGGAATATAAACAAGTTTTTAACAGTTGAATTTGAATCTTTATGAAGTTTCTTTAGTCAAGTGATTTTTAAATCACATGTATTTATTGCCTCAAAGTTTTAGGTGACTTTTAGTATTTTTTAATTTTTAGTGCAATTTTTTTTTTGTCTTGGTTTTATTTATTAATGAAATGTTTAGCTTTTTAATTTAGCATGCAATTTTTCGACAGTATTTGATTGAAGATTTATTCCAAAAATGTATACTTGTAGAGAAAAATGCCTTTTTCACCTATTTATCGTAAAATAATCAAGCTTACATGCAAATTGTACTCTATTGTATTTTAAATTAAGCTGATTTTCAAATAACCGAGCCGAAAAGAATAGTTTTTGATATATTGAATTGCCACAAAATAACTTATATGTTTGAATTCAAACTCAAAATATAGCTCAAATACACCTAAAAAAAACCTTGCATAATATTGCATGCTGAAATAGACTGATAAAATGACTTAAAACTGTATATATTTATGACCCATTATTGTATAAATAATTAATATAAGTAAATTGAATTTCTAGAATGGTCTAGAATGATTAAGCGATTGTTTACCGTTAGGTTTTTTTTTTTCAGTGATATCTGACTAAATGAAAAACTTTCTACAGGTAAAATTATAGTAAATGTACCTTTTTTCACAAAAACCGTTAAATCTTGGTGCTTTTTTACATAATTGTAAAAATACATATGTATTTTTAATGTAATATTACAGACTACAAAATAATTTGTAAAAAAAAAATCATTCCGTAACAAGAAACTGCCATTTTACAATTTTTCTTTACCCAACACTCGCGCACCTTTGACCAAACTATCGCACAACTGTTTCGCTTTGATTTCTATGTATGGAGGTACACTACTCGTTTAGTGCAACTAAACAGTTGAATTGGCTACGAAACAATCGACAAACACAACAGTTGTGCGATACTTTAGTCAAAGGTGTACGCCCGCTCTAAATCTCTGTGTTTAACTAATTAAATTTTGTTGCCTTCGAAATAATGTTTCACTTATCCAATTAATGAATCTTTTTCAACTGAAGAAATTAAAAAAAACAAATATTTTTGGCAATCATTTTTTGACAGCTGTCAATTCATGATTAGGGATGTGAAGTAACATTCGAATATTATTCGATACTTTTCTATCGATTATACATTAATTGTAACTGCTGACATTTTTTTTGTAAAAGTAATTCGCTGCGCAATAGTCGGAAACTACTTAAAAATGTATTTATTTTAAGTTAATATTTTTAAGTGATAATTTTATTTTTAGTTTTAAGTATAACTTTTTTCGACGCTTAATTATTGCTTAAATTATTTGGTTCCTAAATTGTATTGAATTCAATATTCTTACGTAATATATGTGTTTGTGGAAATTGAATGAAAGATGTTTTTAAATAATAAAATAATTTGTTACTCTTCAGTAAAGCACAAATTATCCTCATTTCTTATTTGAGAGCAAAATTGCAATATGTTAACTTGGATTGTTTTGTTTCAAATTCTCAGTTTTCATTTAATTCCGAGACGTTCTTAAATCACTTTGGTGTCAGTTATCAATTATTTTGCATACTTTTGCTAATGTTTCCTTATATGAAATATAACTTCATGTTAAATGTTTCTATGTTAATACCAACATTGCGTTGCATTGCACAACCATTGCGTATATTTACATGTATAATTGTATAAATCGCTGTGAAATTGTAAAAAAAAATGTATGAAAAAATACACAAAAAATTTAAACTATCTGAAAATATTCAAATAAAACTTGTAAGAATTGAGTTTGATTTTATTATTTTTTCTTATTTCTTGTCAGTTGGTGAGAGTCAATTGGCGAGTGTACTGTAGCGAAATAAATTATACCAACAACTAAAAAAAATATCTTAAATGTACTGTTTAGTACCTCGCTCAAAAAGTATCTTCTCCAGAACGAAATTCAGTTACTTAACTATGTAACTGAATTTGTTTTAACTATCTATACTAATATTATAAAGAGGAAAGATTTGTATTTACTGATAACTCAAAAACTACTGAGCCGATTTCTAAAATTCTTTAAACATTAAAAAGCTATGTTATCAAAAAATATTTTTTTTTAATTTCCCGCAGGCGAAGTCGTGAGCAACAGCTAGTTACTTATAAAATAAGATAAAATGTACCCAAAAAGTACCTCAATTTTAAAAATGTACAAAAATAAAGTGTGCATAGCTTCCGAGAAATAAAACAATAGTGATTTGTTTACTAAAGTCAGTGAAACATTTGTATGAGGTACTAAATAGTACATTTTAGGTAAATTCTTTCGTTTTGACTTGTTTTATGTGGAGTGAAAAAAAAAACAAAACTTTGCTTTTAAAAATACTTTATTACGCTATAAAAACATCCAAATCATTCTAAAAACGACTGCTACTAACAAAAATAGTAGCGGCAAAGGTAATTTCTTCTCTCTGACTCCAATTAAACCGGAAACTTCTCCTTTCTTCATTGGCTGTGCGACGCCCGCCATCTTGGGAGCGTCTATGGGCTGTCCGATCATAGAGAATTTACTAGCACTGGTTATTTTTACTGTGACCATTTTGCCCATATATTTTTCTTCTTTCGGTATTAACACTTGTTCGTAAAATTCATTGTGGGCTACGAAATAATTTTTATCGTGAGATATATCTGTTACAAGGACCTCTTGGACCTCCCCTACTTTGTGTCCATAGGGCTCGTACGAGCGGAACAATTCGGATAATTGTTTTGTACGTTTCTTCACTTCTTGACCTGGGACCTGTGAATTTCAACAAAATAGATATGTACAAATGAATAGGTCTTTAAATGCGTTACTACGTTCCGATTTACGCGTCTCTTGATTACTATTAGAATCAAATCTCATCAATCAGCGTTAAGATGGAGAGAATCAAATAGGTACAATCACGTCTTCTAACCTGTCCATTTATAGAGGTCAGTAAAATAGCTTTTTAACAAAATGTTAAATATATTTAATCATATTAATATTATAAATGCGAAAGTTTATATGAATGGATGTTTGCTAGAGTTAAAAGCGTAAACTGCTGAACCAATCTCAATGAAATTAGGCGTAAATTTAGGGTCTAGAAGAACACAAGTTATTTATTTTGAATATAACATGGATGGAGCTTAGTATAATAAATTTTACTTACTCTAGTCATATTGGCAGCCGGAGTACCAGGTCTGGGGAAGAACTGGTTGATGAAGAGTGAGGGAAACCTGTACTTGTCGCAGAGGGACATGGTCTCCTCGAAGTCCCTCTCAGTCTCAGTGGGGAAGCCGCAGATTATGTCCGTAGCTATCGTCATGCCGGGCACACTGGAATAAGAACAGAATTTTTACAATTTTGTTATTAAAAACAATTTATTTGGAATGGTTAAACAAGATTTAAAAAAAAAAAACCATGTCTAAAAACTCAACATTTATTAAGTCCACTACTTTTATCTAGGTCACCTAGCGGCCACCAGTATTCGCTATAACAGCGAAGCCACCGCTTCTCATAAAAATCCGCATTTACTTAAGAGAGAAGGGGAGTCACAGAAAGAGGATTTACCCCTATCTATGTGTCACCTTCCCTGGAATCCCTTCCAGTCCGACAAAAGTAAACAAAAACATCTAAAAGATCTAAAACCAAGACTCCAGCACACAAAAAAAGCATTATCAATTACTACACTCACTGTTCTCTAAGATAGTCGACAACTTGCTGGAAGTCAGCCCGGCTGTACTCCCGCTTCATGTCAGCCAGCACCTGGTCGCTGCCGGACTGCACCGGCACGTGCAGGAACCTGCACCACACTCACTGACACTCACCATACCTCCCCATATCCCCCACACCCTGCACTCTTTACATCACCGGTCTTCAACTGCCCACTATTGGACAATCCTCCCCCTATACCTTCCACTGAATATGTACTTTTTTTTAACTATTTAATCCAAACAAATGTCTTAAATCAAAGATTTTAATAAACTAAATAAACTATTTAAGTAACATTTTGGAATACTTAAAATATTGAGAAATCAGCAAGATAAATGGCGAGTGAAATTTGAACTCACATTTTATACTGTTTATTTTTAAATTAAGTTTCATATTTTGTGTGTTTTGTGCAAATATGCTTATGATCCTCAGAGGAAAACAGATGTCCAGAAACACTTTATTCATGAAAATCTGTTTAGTAATTCAAATGGTTGTTATAAAATGTACATCTTCCTTATATTATAAATGCTTAAATGTTTCGGGAGTTTGTAGCCTAAACAGCTGAACAGATCTCAATGAAACTTAGCATAGATGTAGAGGATAACCTGGAATACCACATAGACTACTTTATTTTTTTAATTCCACGCGAAAACTAATACATACTTGTATACTCTTGGATGATGCATGATATCAGCGATATCGGGGAGGTGTTCCAGTATATAAGGGGGGTTGGTCATGCCGAGCCGCAGCCGGCAGCCCGCGGGCAGCACGGCCACCAGCCGCCGCAACAACGCGGGTAAGGAAGTACCGATATCTCGGCCGTATGTTCCTAACAGCGGAGAACCATCGAGTCAAATCATCTTCCTTATCATACTTCCGTAAAGCGTATCAGTTGTTTGTCGTCATAACTCTACCATATGTCACCACTCTATTTCACCTTTCATGCAATCGTCTCTTAAAATATAAGTCAAATATATAAGTAATTTAAATTAGGATTATAAAAGTTCTTTAGGTAAACTATATCTGTCCAATTGAATACAACACAACTTTGATTTAAAGGGGTGGGTAGAGAACAATTTTCATCTGACAGTCAATTACAATTAATATTTTAAAAATGAACAAATCATACTATGATACTAATATTGTAATTACGATAATTTGGATGGATATTTGTTATTATATATCTCCTAAACGGCTTAACAGATCTTAATAAAATTTAGCACAAATGTAGAATATAGTCTATGATCCTAGAAGTGTAGTTTCCAAGAGATAATAATACTCAGATTTACTGGAAAACTCTACATTAATCATATCCTATTGATATTATACTATAAAAAACAGTCTAAAACTGAGTTTCCCAAACTTTTTTGTACCCTGCCCTCAACATGTAATAATTTTTATCAAATTGCCCTCATTGTGGTGTATGGGCCCTATGTTAAGAAACACTGGTCTAAAATAATCCAAACAAAATCACAGGCACAAGCTAGTAAATATAACATACCAGTATCTTCGCTTGTCAACCAGATCTCAACAACTCCCTCAGTAAATGACTGTCGAGCTCTTTCAATTATTTCTTCCGGAGGATAGCTGCCGAGTTCTCCCCGAGCATGTTTGGTCTTGCAGTAAGTACATTGGTTCAAACATCCCGTGTTGATAGGTATTATCTCTATTAGAGGGTTTTTGCGCACTTTAGGCAGCAATAGCGAGGCACCGCCCGCTTTTTTACCTTCTCCAGTCTTTTTTTGTCCGAATAAACGTACTGTGTGTCCTGGGGAAGAAAAAATTAAAAATTAGTAGCCTATGTGTTTTTAAAAGACTAGCCTCTACATCTATGCCAAATTTCATCAAGATCCGTTCAGCCGTTTAGGCTATAAACTCTCAAAAACAAACATCCAAACAAACAACAAACAACCATCCATCCATCAAAATTTTCGCATTTATAATATTAGTAGGAACTAGGATAGAGTAGTCATAATAATAAACATAGGAAGATTGAAGAATATATGAATACATGTAAGGGAGTAAATTCAAATATTCCAGAGTTGTATGGAAGAGTGTATACTATGCCAACCCTTTGTAGTAACAAGGGTAGGTAGACAAGAGTAAACTCATAATTAATTTACCTTTAAGTGTCTCCTCCACAATCTCTACGATGCGATCAATTTGCTGCACGCCGACTACACTGAGCCCCTGCAGATAGGATGCACGTGGGGCGCCTTGCGGCACACACCCTGCAACTACCACATGGATGCCGCGACTACGGCCTGATTCTATCTCATTTCTGAAAAATACAAAATACTACATTCAGTAATTTAAATAAACTCATTATGAATACTTCTTTAAGTTGAAATTTGATTAATACAATTTTTTGTTTTTTATGTACTCTCCAGAATAATAAATATAAACAAGATGGCTAATTTTTATGTTATAGATATGTTTACTTTAAAAATATCTGAAATAAGTCATCAAGATAGACAAAGATTAAGGTAAGTGATGCATCTGCATGTCAATTAGCACTTTTGATGATTTCAAGTGGCCAGTCACTTATTTATCAACTTATAATATAAACAAAACATTGGAAGACCCACATTTATTTTAATTTACTATCTTTCTTTCTTTTAAAACCTTTCAAGGAAGAACTACCACCAATTTGACTTCTGTATAAAAATAAATTACTTAAACTGACAAAGTAAATAAATAAATCAAAATAAAAATAAAACTTTTTACTGACTTGAAATGATCCTCAGCAGGACTCTTGACAGTGCAGGAGTTGAGCAGCCAGAGTTGTGCGTCCCATTTGTCTTCCGTCAGCGGGTACCCGTGCGCTGCCAGCAACCCCGCCATGTACTCCGAATCGGAGTTGTTGTGAGCACAGCCCCATGTCTTTACATAGATTTTCTGTGTTCCTGATCCAGTTTATAATAAAATAACCAATCAGACATACTTACATGTTATAAAAGAAATGCGTTTTCATTATTTTTTGCAACATTTGTTTACTTTTAAAAATACAAGGGAAATAATAGAGGTTACCTGGTACAACACTCTCTAGCACTATCTTCTCAATCGGCTCTTCATTCTTGTCTACTTGACGTTTTTTAGATCTTACATTTACACTTTTTCTGCTCGCATATCTCTCTTTAGGAGTTATGTCTTGTGAAGATATTAAATCCTCAATATCATCAATAATTTCGCACACGGCACCTGGCATTTTGAAATGTTGATATTATTTTTGACTTTGACATTGACATAAGAATGACACATTATTCTTTTAATGTAAAGTAACTTAATCATGGAGCCAAGTGTATGATTGTTTTAAATGTGTTACATGATAACTATTTAAAAAAATCAAGGATTCTTACTGGTTGCAATAC